TCTGATTCCGCCCTCTACGATCTCGAATCGAAGGACTCGGGCTCTGCGTCGGTGAATTCTGCTCTCCCTTCTCAGAATCAAAAGTTTTGGAGGAAGACGACGGAGTGATCTTGCTCTTGCTCGACTTTGTCGACATCTCCGAAACCGACCGGGACATGGTCCCGCTACGACTTGGAGTAGAAGCCTTCCGGAAAACAGCCAATCGATAGCGATCAACGACTCCACGGGCGAACAGACTCGTTCCTTTGGCGCCGTTGCGGTCTTCCCCGCCGTCAGCTTCGATGAAGTCCCAATCTTCGTCTTCTTCATCTTCCACGTCCTCGTCCTCGTCGCCATCGCGTCCAGCAGCTGGGCCGTCGGAGAGGTACTGGTCGAGTGCAAGTACGCCTGAGCGCTCTTTGCGACGGGGTGGTGGTTGGGCACGAACTGCTTTGGCGGTGACAGGGTTGGCGACAGGGGGTTTTGGCGGAACCGGAGGTTGCTTGGGGGGTTTCTCGGAAACTGGGGGTTGTGGGGGAAGAGTTGCCTCGGGCTCGGTTGACTCGACGGGGGTAGGTAACTCCTTACTTGTCCGCGGGTTGGCCTCTATCTGTGATTCGACAACACCAGACGGCGTGGTAGAGGGTTCTCTCGAAGGTGTAACAGTTGGTGGAGCCACATCATCATCAGCGGGAGGAAGAGTCTTCGGACGCGCTTCAGGCGTCTTGGGCTCAGGCAGCTCGTCTTCATCTTCCAGCGTTGTTTCTGCCGGTTCCACTGGTGTTGGAGCTGGTGTCTCAGCCGTCGGCAAAGGAGGCGGAGGCGTAAGTTCTCCCAGCACACCACTAGAGATGTCCTCTTCCTCATCCCCGCCCTCTTCTTCTTCCTCCTCCTCCTCCTCATCCGTCTCCTCTCCCTCGTCCTCCTCTTCCCCATCCTCGTCATCAATCAACATCGAGTGTCTCCCCTTGAACGAATACCCATCAAACACATCGACCGAACCATCCTCCACCGGTTCCTCCTTCAAGTTCCTAGACCCCGGATGCAGCGACGAGCTCCGTGACTGCGAAGGCGTTGTGTTGGTCTCATCGCCCTCGCCCTCGCCCTCTCCATCCGTCCTGTCCGTATCGGTATGCTCGTTCTCGTGCTCGGGATCAGTATCGGTGTTTTCGTTGTCGCCCTCGATGTCGTTGTTGAAATCGTCGAGGACGGGTTCCATGTCTAGGAAGGTGTCGTCGAAGTTCTGCGTATCGCTTGCGTTGGAGGGGTCGATGGGTGGGATGTATGGGGCTGGAAAGTTGAACAGGAGGGTTAAGTTTTTAAACAAAAGCGGACGTTGGATGAAAGGAACTTACGTATGTATCGTTTGTAGTATACATGAGACCAGTCTCTGCAGAATGAATTAAAACAAATAAGACTAGGTAAAAGCGTTAACTCACATCATAGAAAAGTAGGGATGCCGTTTTATCCGTGGTTCGCATATTCTAAGTGCCGGATTCCGTTGAAGGAGCTACGCATAGGTATAAGCATCCACAGCAGAAAGACAAAAGCTAAAACACATACACCCCGAATCAAACTCTTCGTATCTTGATCCATAGACCTCTCATCAGGAAACTGTAGCTCGTCCTGCAGAACGCGGACATACATATCCGAATGGTTGTTTGCCCAAAACGGTGTCTATAGAATGACAATCACATGAGCAAAAAAGGGGAGAAAGAGACCAAGAGACTGGTATTCACAATGCCCGTTAACATCTCATACAACATCGTCCCAAAACTCCACCAATCAATTTCGTAGCTGTACGGCAACGCCTGGATGACCTCTGGCGCGAGATACTCCGCCGTGCCACAAAACGTTGTGGTCATATCCACCGTCGTCGGCGCAGCATTCCCATTTCCGAGATCAGGCCCGTCCTTGACCATCCACGAGGGTTGCACCCCGCCTGGGAACTCTTTCCCTGAAGGCGTCGGCGGAGCTGTAACTGCGTCCCGCCGCCTAGGGAACTCCTTTGAGAGTCCGAAATCAGTTAGCACAATATGGCCGTCTGCGCCAATGAGGATGTTCTCGGGTTTTAGATCGCGGTAGATGACGCCTGCTGCGTGGAGGCCTTCGACGCCTTCGACGATCTCGGCAGCGTAGAACCGTGCTCGGTCCCGACCGAGACGGCCCCATCTGGCGAGCTGAGTGGCGAGGTCACCACCAGGGTGAAAGTCCTGCCAAAGAAAGTTAAACAACGAGGAAGCGGCGTTTAGACAGGGGAAAAACACCTACCATAACCAAAAACAAATTCTCCTTATCGTGAAAGCTCCACCACAACTTTACCACAAACGGATCTTTGACGACGCCATTGGGATTAGCCTGCCCATTCTCGTCTACAGCTGCCATCCTCTTCAACACGGCCTGCTCTGTCAGGGTATGCTGCAGCTCCTGATGCGCGAGGACATGCCTCTTCGTAATCGCCTTCATCGCGTACAGATCCGTTGTAGCCTTGTGTCTCACCAGCAGGACCTTCCCGGCACAGCCCTTGCCCAGCACACGGAGCATTTCAAAATCATCGACGACGACTTTACGTTGTGATTTCTTCTTTACGAGAGCGCTGCCGTTGAGTGACCCTGATGATGTTTCCTTGCGTTTTTTGCGCGTCGATTTGCTGCGGGCAGCGGTGGAGATACTGGACGATTCGTCGCCTGTTTCGGTTTGGGAGTCGAATGCGCGAGACATGCGGCGTTCTGGATCTGCAGACAGGGAACGGGGGACATGCGAGGGGCAGGTGCTTCGGTGGTAGTAGGCGTCTGCGGCTGGGGTTGTGGTTGAGATGAAGGCTGCTGCTCCTCGCTGACACGCGGAGTCGAGGTGAGGTCGACGACAGGAGATGGAGATGGAGGTAAAGCGGCTTCTTCTTGAGCAGGTTCCGGAACATCAGGTAACTCTTTGGGCTTCTCCTCGGTGATGACCGGGGCAATGTGCGCGCCTCCGTGGGCAGCCAAGTCTGATCTAACCCGTTTGATGGCTCGTTCGACTCGAGTGCTTTCGAGATCGTCCGTGCGGACGCGAACAAAGCGTTTCCAGGCTCTAGCTTGACGGACCGGCTGGAGATTGGCGACCGTGGTAAAGTAGGCAGCGAGAGCGGTACTGGTAGCTGAAGGCACTGGCAGCGTTGCATTGAGCAGCGCAAAAGACGCGAACGGGTCACTCTGTTCGACAGATGGCGACGGTATTGAGCGCTTGGCACTGGGTGAAGCCAATCTGGAAAGAGTATTGAGAAAAGCTGATTTGCGCTTTGGTGCAGCGGGTATGGTCGCTGGGTCCAATGGTAGAGCTGGAAGTTTGGAAGTGGATATGATAGAGTCGTGGAGCTTGTGGTCTAGCTCTATGATTTCCATGGCCGTTCGTGTAAGAGTCAGATTGTGGGTTGGGGCTGCAAGAAGTAAGAAAAAAAAAGCCAAAAAAAAGGAGAACTGGACAGACTCTTTATGTAAAGACTGTAAGACCTTTGGTCGTGCGGACTTTCTGCGACACTGACGCTCCAGGGGCCGTCCTGGTCGATGCGCACGGGACCTCTGCGGCTGGGCGCGGTGTCCATGTGATGATTCTTGACCATTTCACGATCGATAAACACTGTAGACTCTGGTTCTTCGAAAGTTAGCGTAGACAGGCCGTTTGTCTTGTTTGTTTTTCGCAGCGAAGAACTTCTGCGCGGATTACTGGCTTTGGAGTTGGCTGGTGAACGGCCAAATGTTGAGAGGCTTCCTGGTCGGCGAACAGACACAGTGCTGGGCATTAAATGCCTGGGCACGAGGATTCAACGAAGGGACCTCGAGGCTTTAAATATGACTCACTTAGCCAAAGCCAAAAAGTGAGATGCTGTATGTTTGGAAAAGAGAACGTGAGGCGTAGGAAATGGATCAAGTAATCAACCTGACAACAGATTCTATCCCCGTTGGCCACGAGACATCGTAATCTACCAACCATCGTCTCTCCTTTTTATTTTTATTTTTCATTGTTCATGCATGATAACATCAAAGCGTAACTCGGATAACAAAATTGACTTGTGAAATGGAACCAGCGCACTTTTCATGCTCCATATGTGCTGACCAGTATGACTTTTGCAACTTTCTGCGTCGTCTTAGTACCTAAAATACCTCATAAAGCCCGCTAGGTTATGGGAATATCACTATGAACATCAGTGAAATCGATTTCATCTTTCCACGTTGGGATTGGCACCGAGGAAAAACGTGTTCGCAAGCCTCTGATCGATATCGAATGAAACCAAAACTGTCATACGCAGACCCAGAGGCCTTTATTACGCGTCTCAGACCTCGGGCTCTCGCCCAAGAAGCTTGTCTCCAGAGAACGCGAAGGTTGGAACCTTCAGAGAGTGTAGTTGACGAACTTTTCCCTGACCTTTCCACTCCCATGCGTTCTCAAGATCTCAACGTATCTCAACGCCCACATTACAACACACAGACTTACTTTGACCGAAAATGAACCGGTATTATTAACAGAAGAACTTCTCTTCATTGATCACTCCGCTTCGTCCAAACGTTCTCAGGTATCTTCGGATTTCCCTAGTTGCCCCCAAGAAACTCGAAACAGACCTAGTCTCTCGTCTCAGTAAGTATTACACTTCATTTAAAGTTCAGACGTTCACAATCAATCAATCGCTCAATAATACAACATACCCCTCTCGATTCAGCATCATACAGGAACCCATTCCGGTAATCTGTTCAACTTTGCACATGGCAGTGCTCTGGCTGTGCTTCGCACTTAGCGCTGTGACTATTCTGGGAAGATACGACATGTCACAGAGCAGCTGTACCAACTTCAACGAACACGATCCGTGTTCAGAGGGAGGTCAAAGATAGATCCTTTGGGATCAACCGGCGTTGCATGTACAGCTTCAGGTTCAACGTTCAAGCCTTAACAGAGCTCAGCCTTCACACATAGCCTCTTCGTAGCTATTACTAACGAGGTTGAAGTCTTAAAGCGTAATTTACAGAGGTCCTATGCAAATTCAACATGGCCGCCTGGCGAAATGGCATCGCGTCTGACTACGATAATCTCTACCAACATCTTGGGATTGTAATCAGGAGATTGCAGGTTCGACCCCTGCGGTGGTCATACCTTAACTTGTTATCCTCTCATTGGCCGCCCAGTGACATCTTTTTTCCAAACGGCAGCACATTCACTCTCTCATTATGATTGGATTCAACAATGGGTTCATACAACCGCGATGAAACAAATATATCTAGCTTGGGCATTCCTAGTACTCACGGCCACCTGGCAAAATGGGACCCAATTCTCCTCCACGTAGTACTCGATAATCATGTCTCAATCTTCATATATGTATTCAATAGGTATTCGTAGCGCCAAATTGAACCGTTGAAAGAGAATAACAAGGAGAGGTTCAACCCATCTGCATGGCCGCCTGGCGAAATGGCATCGCGTCTGACTACGATACCTGCGTATAAGAACCTTAACGTAATCAGGAGATTGCAGGTTCGACCCCTGCGGTGGTCATCGATTGGTTGGCATGATATGAACTTTTTTTCGCATCAGAGCGGCTGTTTTTATAAACGTTAAACATTAAACATTCGCATCTTGGTTTCCTCGCATGGCTGATTTCGATAACGGCCTGTTTGCACAACCAAGAACGAGATGATTCTACCTAGCCCCTGGCGCACCACTTTGAAAATGAACACTTGTTCACGGCCTGCAAACTACCTGACAAAAAGACACATAATAAGTACATCCTTGAAGGGTAGTATGCAATCATTAGGCCTCCAGGTCTCAGGCTGAATCTTCAACGCTGAATATTCCTAGCCTCCTCTTGAGTTTCAGCATGCAACTTGAACTGCTAAATCCTGAGAGGTCCTCATATTTCACTATGGCCGCCTGGCGAAATGGCATCGCGTCTGACTACGATAAAACCATCCGTGAGAACGAATAATTGTAATCAGGAGATTGCAGGTTCGACCCCTGCGGTGGTCACTGCTATTACTAGATCCTCATCGTGATTTTTTTAATGCACTATACCGACAGTTTCTCACAAAATTACCGCCCTTTTCTCAATATGATTGGATTCAAAAAACTGGTTATACTTATGAGGGGGCTGCGCAAGAATGAAACAAGCTATCCAGGCTCACTACCCATCTGGCCAGAAAGCATACCAGGTGTCAGCTTGTATTTGAAGTATGTACACAATCATCACCAGCCTAGTCCCTAAGGTTGCATATTCAAACTTGTCTACTGCATGCAAATCAAAATCAAGCGCAAATTGAATCATCAAAAGAGGAGGGGTCCCAGTTCTTCTCATGGCCCATCAGGAAAAGTCCGAAATACTTAAGTCAACTTAAGTCACCCTCAGGTCAATCAAGTTCATCAAGTTGACTTAAGCCAAAGTGAACCCCTGAACCTTGGATTGAGTCACTTAAGTTAACTCAAGTCAACTCAAGTCAACTTGAGGTTCACCTGAGGTTAACAAAGTTGGCAAATCTGCTCAATTGCACTTAAATAATTTGAGGGAGATTGAGAGATACTTGAGGCTTGAAAGTTGAGAGTATACATCAGATACGAAGATGGGGCCCAGACAAGGGAAGGAAGAAAGGATGGAATCGTCCCGTTTCAACAAGTTGAACCAATTTATAATCCTCGCGACCCTGTGACTGTGCCATGCACGCCGCATGGCCTTTGAAACCCTTCGCTATCCTGGGTAAGGCTTACGCATCGTACATACCCTGGTTTGCTTGGCGCCCAGTGCAAATACCTTGTCAGTGGTCCAAAACCTTCGAGCTTGCTGTCGAACGACTTGGAGTCCAGTCGCGAGACTGTCAGACATCATGTTGCGTTGAATCTCAATGCACGCAATGTACAGTTGCTTTGAACTTTGAAGTACATACCATGATCTTAATACTGTCCTATTTGTTGTGCTAGTACTTAAGAGTACTGCTTAGTAGGGAGCTCGTAAGTGCATGCAAGTTAAACAGATCAGTATTGGGATTAGGATATTCGATAGTTGTCTGATCATCCTAGATAATTACCTACAGTTAAAGCTTTGAGAAAATGATCATTGCGGGTTCAGAACTGATTGCAGGTTGACCATAATTATTCTTGTGGGTCATATTGAGATGCGAGTAAAGAGAATTATCAACCGTAGATTTTATTCATGAAAAATCTCGTGTAATGATTTGATGTGGATGAAATCTGGTAAAATCATTCCCAAGAGCTCATTTACAAATGTAATTTCAACCAATAATTTTTCTTAGGTTGTAAATGGTTATTATGCTGTGCAAGCATGGGTAATTATCTCTTGATCTTGCGATTCGTGAAATCTCAAATGATGTTTCCCCTGATTTAGTGATGAAGTACCCGTTTCCCATGAGTACTAACGGGTCACAAGTATCAGGTTGGAATAATTTTGCTTACTTGCAAGTACTTACAGGTAGTTACAAGTAGTCAAAAATTTTCCACCAGGAGACAACTTACTGTTGTAGTTGCCAATCTGATGATGTCATGGCAATCCAGAACTGATTCTCCTTGGACATTGCTTACTGATGTACTTACTAACACTTACAGAGGTAGGAGAACATCATAGATACCTCTAGAATAACTGTGTTGTAGTATATAAGGCCTACCTCCAGGCAAAAATCTTCCAACAGGAGGCAAAAACATGAACTACTTTACATTTTATACTGTATCTTCTTACTTACCAGTGACCACTGAGTAATACAGTTAATATCAATGGGTTACTTGTGAGTACTTGTGAGATTTGGATCTGTGAGTACTTGCGGATCCCAAGTACTGGTTTCCCACGGATCCTCACGGGTCACAAGTAGCACTATTTTGGTCCCAAGTACTTGGACTTGGGCTCGTGGACATCTCTACAAGTTGTAACTGGCTACATGTTAGGTGGACACATAAGCTGATCAGACAAGGTCTGGTGCATAGAGGAGAACATATTCCAGCTCTTATTTGAGCAGAAAAAATTTATTCCTGCCCTCCCCACAAATTTCCTTGGATCAATACCCGTGACCCGTACAGATCCATGGGAAACGGGTACTGGGATCTGCAGGTAGACATACCTGCAAGTATTCTCATGGTCATACCTGCGAGTACCTGCTGATAACTCGGACTTGTGGACATCTTTAATTGCAGCACTGAGAATTCACATATTAGAGGACCGCAGCCTGGAGCAGAAACAGCATGTAGTGCAAGAAGATCAAGAGAAGAAAGAATATCAGCAAAAGCAACAGTGTGCAAAGTAGAACACAAAGAACATTTCAACTCACAGATATTATAGTTGAAGAACAAAGAAACCACAAATTCCTGCATCCGCTACATTCAGGACTCATAAAAGTTGCGCTTCCAGCAGCACACAAGGCAAAATGAGAAACAGAGTCAAATTAAATCGAATGTTGATGAGCTGTACAAAAGTTAGGATGGCATTATGGAAACCTCGAGGTCACATGGCAAACACTTTGACATCCCAAATATATCAAAACTAATCTCCTTATTAGGTCAACCCAATTTAGACAAGATGAAGCCTAATTTGGACAAATTCTCACACAAAACCCGCCATAAGGACGAGCCTTCATTACATTCAGGACTTGTAATTTGAAGAATCCAACAAACAGTCTATACAAGTAGGAATTGTTGAACAGTGACTTAATATCTTAATTCAAATAAAGATTAATTGCCCTCTCAAAATTAAGTATCCTACAGTCATACCGGACACTTCTTCTGTAGAAACAGCAGTCAGTCAACATAAAGTTGACAGCATACTTACTCAACTAGAGTGTGTGGTTGTTTATGGAGATGTAAGAGAGTAGTCTCCTATAAGCAGACTCATTATACACTGACGATCCATACAGATGTGTGTATATAGTGTTGTAGATACTTGGCGCAGGGAGCTGAATAAGCCGTGAGGCTTGAGAGATAGAGGAGAACTGGATAACTACTATAGATACTGGCTTTGGAGAGAGCCTTATATACTGTACATACTGTATAATATTGCTAATACGATGAGTAAGGATACGGACATATGAACATACCGATCCGGCTACCTAATCTCCGGAGTTGCCACATCGGCAATATACAACATATAGAGTCTGCTAGTTCCCATGGGGCCTTTGCAGCTCAAGAAATTATGACGTAGTAACTGTGTACAGCCACAATGACACGTGCAAATCTTGGATGTGTTCCTGCACCCAAATCTTATATTCTCGCAATAAAACTCGATTTATAACTTCTTTACTCTCTATGTATGAACTCTATCTAGAAAAAATTGGCATAACTTAAGTTGAATCATTGTGGCAAAGATTTGGGCATGAGCCAAATCGGCTTACAAGGTTGTGCACGTGCACATTTTCCGCGCGGATTGCGCGGACCAAACGGTGGCGATGCACAAATATGACATAATAATTCCTTGAGCTGCAACAGGATCGTGGCTACTATAGGACTAGTAAGAGAGCTTGTTGAGAGCAAACCAAGAATCCTACTTTTTGAAAAGTAGGATTCTTGGTTTGCTCTCAACAAGCTCTCTTACATCTCCACAAACAACCACACACTCCAGGTGAGTATGCTGTCAACCATTTGTTGATTGACCTGCTGTTTCTACAGGTTATGGGCCCTGGATTGTTTCAACACATGTTGCATCCTCTATTGTGCTCAATGCATATGGTTAGGCAGTGTTCAAAGAACACCCAACACTCATTCTGGAGTGTACAAAGTTCACGTGTTGTGCATACTAAGCACAATGGAGGATGCAACATGTGTTGAAGCAATCTGTGGCCCGTAACCATAGAACAGCAAGTCAGTCAACAATGGCTGACAGTATACTCACCTAAAGTGTGAGGTTGCTGAGGAGTGATAGAATGGCTAGTTGAGAGCAGAGAAGTGTCCAGTAGGATACTTGGCTACTGTTACAGGAAAATACCTACAGTATTTATACTAAGGAATGTTCTAAACCCTATAACAATGTATGAGTCTATGTGAGTCATACATAGTGCATAACATGTGCATAATGTACCCTAGAATATGGAGTCCATGTGGTAATTCTATAGGTATAGTTCATATGTACTGCAAGGCAGTGTACAAGCTATGTATCATAAGACTAATAGCAAATAGCATAAAGGACTACATGATTCAGGATGTATACAATCCTGTAAAGAGGCTGTGTATAGTGTTTGAGGGTTGGTTTCAACTTTCAACATAGGATATATCAACATTTGTCAAGGGCATCTGATTGACTCACATGACTGATTAGATACAACTCATAAGCGCTAATCTAGTTTCAATACCATCAACTCTCTCTGTACCAGCCTCCAGATAGGAGCTCCTCTCTGACTTATTATCTTGATTGTACATTATGGACTAACCTATTAACTCTCTCTATACCAGTTATCTTAGATCTGTTGAAGGTGGACCGCCGGTCCGACGGTTGTTGTTTCGGGTCTCAGCTGCCCCCCGGTCATGTTACCCGCTGCCCCGTACTTTACCGTATTTGTTATTGATTAACCTATATATATTAGCCACCGTACTTAGAATAAAGGGGATCGTTTGCGCCCCCCGGTTTCCGCGCCCCCTAAATTCTGTCTGATAAGCTTTTGCTTATTATCGCTTCTGGACCTATCGCTCACAAGATCTATCCATATCAATTCCATTGCCCAATGCGCTTATCAGAGTATTGGTTAGCTGGGGGCATGGTACACCATACTACAGCCTGAGGCAAAGAGTTAGAGCATTGAAGCAACATGATTAGAAAGAAGTCCCCTCCTCCAATTATTATGGCCGCCTGGCGAAATGGCATCGCGTCTGACTACGATGCCCAAGCTAAAGGACTCTGAATTGAATTTGGTAATCAGGAGATTGCAGGTTCGACTCCTGCGGTGGTCATGGCGTTGTCTGAGCTTGTCATAGCTATTGGGCTGGATCTATTTTATGGCTATCAAGACTCACGTTTATTTAGTTCTAGCTCAGTACTGGCATGGCAATGGGTATCCGAATCGGGTCTGTCTTTAAAGACTTATAAGTGCACGTTGTCGTTCAGAGATTATATGTTCAACGTGGTTAGCACTTGACCAAGTGATAAGCATTTCAAGTTTTGCTTCATGAAATTCCGGACCAAAATTTTTCACTGCTATTACCAATGCAAAAGCTTCGTAGTAAAAATTATATCAGATCTCATTTTTCAGCGAGATGTTGACTTTAGATACAGTGAAAAAGGATGTATTAAAGGTCCGCGTCGCATAAGCCAAATCCATATATTGGCATCTAGACCATTAAGCCTCTTCTGGAGCCACTAAACACACGTCTCCGATATAGCTCTTCCTTCCTCTCCCTTGTTAACGCCCTACGTTAGATATTAACGTTGACATCGGTGCTCTGAAGACCTTTATCAGGGTCCGACTCGGACCCCTTCGTGACCGTCCCACTGAAAAGAAGAGAACTTTCTTGCATAAGTACCTCGTGCGTCATCTTGCTGCTATCCTTTACCCACTCCAACTCTACTATGAACTCGTCGTCTCCATCCCTTAATCCGGGTGCACATCTTCTGCACATACAGTTCTTCAATTTTCCATCGTAGTGTACTTTGGTATAGTTGTGGGCAAGCTCTGGATCCAATATGTCGATAAGATCTGATAGTAAATGCTGTATAATCCACAACCTGAGTCTCCCATTGGGTCTAGCTCGATCTTCGTTCGTGAGTACATCGCTCCCCGCCATTGCTTCTAGCCCAAGAACAACGGGATCAAACCAATCCTTGAAATCCGCTTCTCTCCGCCATTTTTCACAAAATGTTGCAAAGCCAATACAGCGCAGCTGACCTTTCCCATCTGGTGACTCTGGAGCTGTCGCAATCTCTCCTATAGCGGACTGAATACCAGTGGCGATAAGAAATTGCTCGGTAAACCCTGAACGAAGGACCGAACGGATCCGGGCAAGCAGCACTATAATATCCGTACCAGCTGAGCCCGATTTGGTACGTGGCCGGAGAAACTCCGTATCGCGCCGGAGGATGTTCGCCCACGCGAAGAATTGGGCAAAGACGAAAGAAGTGTGCATGATATTATACATCCGCACTTGATCGCTCCAAGTCGCTGAAGAAGTCGAGTCGTTGTGGATGATTTTGGTGATTTGCATGGAAAGATCGCTGGCGGCGAGATGGAGAGGATCGTGGTACTTGGAAAAGGTGGCGCGAAGACTTTCTAGGCGCTTTTTCTCTTCTGAATGCATTTCGAACCAGCCGGCGAGGACTGCCTGAGCTACGGTCCCTAATAATGCCACTACTGCGACGACGATTGAGACAATGTCGACCATTGACGCTGGATCTAAAGGAGAGCAAAAAAGGCTTGGAATTAGTGGGACGGTATTTGATTTTTACGCTCCACGCGAGGCAGTTCAGCGAACGTGAGTTAACATGAGGTATCTCATCAAATGTCACCTCAACATTGAAGTGATCATAATCGTTTGGTGCCATTGAACACGGTCACGGTGCGGCACAAGCCTTCTGTAGTTGTACGGATGGCGTACGCTGGTACAGATGCCCTCGAACCGGCTGGTTCAAAAGCAAAAGCCCGAGGTGTACGTGAACATTCTTGGCTAGGGAAGTAGAGTCCCGCGAATTGGTATCACAGGGAAGGCAGTTGGGCGTACTTACCAAGAAGTGCTAAAATTGAACGATAATTGACTTGAACAGCCAGAATAGGCTGAGTCTAGAATGAGGTTCGAAGAATAAGGTAAAATTGCCACCACTGAATCATAACAAAGAAGTATGAAAATGTATGTCTTCCAATGCTACTTGCCTCTTGGCCAGTCATCTTCGGGGAGTAAGTACTAGACAGGTAAACGTGATATCTGACATTGTTAATTGTAAAAATGTTGCTTGAGTGGAACAAGGCTCTGTCACCGGTAGAATTATGTATGACAAGAAGCGGACGTGGGGAGACCACAAATCCCATCGATTAAGGTACCGACGACGCTTTGTATCGTAGAGGTTGGGCCCAGTTAGTGAAGGGAGAGACGGAATCGTGATAACACTCACATAACACACACACACAATGGTGGTCCGCGTCGTTCTGCACAAAGATATCAGAGCCACACCGTCAGAGGCAGCACTCATAATTGGATCAAATTTGCCCTCATTGAAGAGTGTATCCAGTAGGGTTGACAAATAGCCGTGGCGATCGTATAATTAGTATTTTGAAGCCAAAAACTTCCGAAAAAACCGTTTCTCGACGTTTATGAACTACCAAGTTTCGAGATCGTTACAAATTTTTCTATGAAAAGCACTAACTCCGCATTGACTCGAGACTAAGAGCAGACCAGCATATGAACGTTTCGAGTTTCCGTGAACACTGAACAAAGGTTTTTTTGACTAGAAGTAAGAAAAACTAAGCTAGCCTTGGGCAATATAGCAGACTCTTCAAAAGATCAAACAAGAGGAACTGCCAGACATAGATAGAGATGTTGAATGGACGTTCAGATGAAACCGCAATGAAAAAACGACGTGACTTCCGGCTTGAAAGGACGCGACTTACGGCCCGCTTAAAGCTACACGATCACGTTGGCGAGCGCTCGCTTTCGGCATCCCTAACTTCCCGATTTGCCAGCAAACTTGAAACTTATAACCAGTCAAACAGTTGTCAAGTTACAGCATCTGCTCTTTTCTGTCAATTCTGGACTGCTAGCTTGGACGTACTGCGACATTTTCCTTCCCACTCTCACTTTTCCATCCGCTCTGCTTGCTTCCACCTCTTGTCCTGCTAATTCGCCTGCCAACACAGAAGAAAAACATCTTTCTTCGAGCGCTGCTATTGGACTTCTGGTCATTCAACCGTCTACTCTCCACCTCTGTTCTAGTAAAGCCGATATCGCATAATGTCTGAAGAACCTTCCAAAGAGACCTATACCGTCGAAGAAGCGCTCAGCGGAGACGAAAACCCGCTCGTTGGATCTGAAGTCGTCAAACCGGCTGACGACGAAGGCGAGGAAAGTGATACCTACGATGATTTTGACAATGAGGTTAGTGCCGGTCACCAAAGGCGTGCTCGTCGGTAGTTTTCTGCTTCAATTTTGCTGACTGATACGCCTGGTAGGGAGGCAACAACGATGACTCTGAAGGCGACGTAGACGACGATGAAGAAGAGGGAGCCCAGGATCGCTCGGGGCAAGCTGCGAGCTTGACCGCCCTCTTAGTGGCAAACGTTCGTCTCTCTTTCCTCTTTTGGCAATGGTCCAGTAATAACCGTAACGTTACCCTCCCACAGCCAAACAGCTCCAACGGACAGCACAATGCCGATGGCGAAGACGACGACGAAGAGGACGATGACGATGACGATGGCGACTTCCATGCACACGACGGCGAGGAAGACGAAGAACCTGTACCCACCCAGCTAGCCCCGAGCAACGGCAATGGGAAAAAGCGCACAATCGACGACCTCATTGACCACAACGATGCCGACAACGGAGATGCTCAGGCGAAAAAAGCCAAAGCCTAATTTACTTGCGCTGCTCGTATCTAACATATCCTTTGGGTTACCTTGTTCACTTCCAAATCGTCTTCACTCCCAAATCTTCTCTCTCTGGTCTTGGTCTAAAATTTAAAATATCATTATCGTTACTTACTCGTAGTTTTGTTATACTACGAACTCTCTCGTGTTGTATGTACCGTGTGTATGTACAATAATTGTACTGCTTTTCTGTTTCCGCCCAGCCTTCAGGCGCTAATCACTCTTTCACGTATATCATCAGAAAATGGGTGATCGTTCAAATATCCTCCAAAGCACATTGAATGCTTCTACATGGACGGAGGAAGATGAAGCAGTGAGTTTCCGATAGGTGACATCCATCATATATCGCACTCCCTCGCTTTCTTTTTTCTGAATGCTTTTAAACCTAGGCTATCCTTGCACCGTACACTTACCTGATATCTGCGCCCAGCAAAGAAACTCTGAGGCACATGGCCAATGCTCTCAACGACTGGGTAAAAGTGGAACCTGCTCAGCTCGAGCTCATCATCAAGATAGCTCAAGCTTTACAGAATGATTCGTTGTTGTGGGTGCACTAGTCTGCGTTTCCATCACCCAGTATTTGATAGTGGCTCGCTGCTGTGTAGATTCGATGATGTCGAAGATGGTTCCGAACTTCGTCGAGGGCGGCCAGGTACGTGCTTAGACTGCCCTTCTTCGCAGATATTAACATTGGTTTGGCCGATAACAGTCGCCAACGCGGTATATGGTATTCCACAAACGGTTAATGCGGCATCCTATGTTGTTATCAAGGCATATGCAGACGCAGCGAACCTGCGCGCGCTTATAGAAAGGAGCGGTTCCGTAGGAAAAGGTCGTCATGCTCCAGAAGACATTATAACTGGTAAGCTATGGAGCAACGGTCGACCCACAGAGATACTCACCGTTTTGGCCACTCAGAGGAGCTGTTGAACGCTCATCGTGGTCAAGGTATGGATATTCTGTGGAGAGACCATGTCAAGTGTCCTACGGAAGACCAATATATCGCCATGATCAAAAACAGTATGTGTTTCCTTATTTCCCTACTCAATTGAACATTTCGACGTTTTTGGGGTCGTTCGCGGATGCTCTTGCGCATCATTGCGATACCTTAACGGACTAATTCAAGTTCTTCTTCTCATTCTTTGTTTATCATTTCAGAAACTGGCAGCCTGTTTCGTATCCTGATGAAGCTTATGATGGCTTGTGCCACAGAACGAACTGAAATGTATGTGTGGCTACCACCCTCGTATCTATCCTTTGTGTTGTGGATCAGCTTCAGCTGTTTGAAAACTGAATGTTGACTATGTATCATCACCCCAGAAACTTCATACCGCTCGTAGATTTAATAGGTGTCATGTATCAGATCCGTGATGATTACAGTAA